TGCTTAAGGCTAAGAGGTTTTGGGAGAAACTGGATCAGGTGGATTAAAGGTTGTATTGGCTCTCCATGGTTTTCAGTATTGATAAATGGTGAAGCGAAAGGTTATTTCAAGGCAAGCAGGGGTCTAAGACAAGGTTGCCCTCTTTCCCCTTTACTTTTCACTTCGGTGATGGATATATTTAATTATCTCTTTGACAAGTCAATTCTTTTCAACTTGGTGAAAGGTTTTGAAGTGGGTAGGGATAAACTTCACCTCTCTCACTTACAGTTCGCCGACGACATAATCCTATTCTTAGATGCCTCTATAACTATCATCACAAACATTAAAATGGTAATTGAATGTTTCGATATTCTCACTGGTATGAGAGTTAATTTCTACAAAAGCAGTATTGTGGCTATCAACTCAGTGGAAGTGGATCTTCTAGAAAATTTCAAATCTTTATTGGGGTGCAAAGTGGAGAATCTCCCCATTACGTACCTTGGGATGCCTCTTGGAGGGAATCCAAAATCCCTCAACTTTTGGAGTCCTGTGTTGGAGAAATGCGAGAAGAAACTATTGACTTGGAAAAAGTGTTATCTCTCCAAAGGGGCTTACTCTCTTAAAGGCCTCCTTATCAAATCTGCCGGTCTACTTTCTCTCTGTCTTCCAGATTCCGACCAAAGTCAGAAATCAGATTGAGAATCTTCAAAGGAATTTTCTTTGGGAAGGTGGTGGAGATAAGAGAAACCATTTAGTCAGCTAGAAACAAGTATGCAGACCAAAAGAGGAAGGTGGTTTGGGTATTGGACAACTTAAAGAGAAAATTTCCTCTCTTCTAGGCAAATGGCTCTGGAGATTTCCGAAAGAACCTAATGCTCTTTGGACTGTTGTCATCTCAAGTAAATATGGACGAAATACAAACGGGTGGGGTTGCAATCTCCATTTGAACATGATAAAGGCCATCAATCCTTGGAAAGGTATATGTTCCATTCATAYTTCTTTCTTTCCTTTTATAAGGTATAAAGTGGGAAATGGTTCTAAAATTAAATTCTAGAAAGATCTTTGGTTGGGGGAATCTACCCTGGATGCCTCTTTCCCTAGGCTGTTTAACCTCACCCTTGTCCAAGAAGCCTCTATTTCTGATTGCCTCCCAAACCAATCCGCCGAGAATTCTTTAAACCTCCACCTTAGAAGACCCCTAAGGGACTCGGAGATTTCTGATTTAATAGCTTTAATCCAAACCCTCAAAGATGCCTATATATCCCCCTCTCATTCTGACACCCGAATATGGACCCTTCACCCAAATGGCGAATTCTCTTCTAAGTCTATGTTCAGGGCTTTGATTGCTGAAGATCAGCATCCCTCTTTTCCTTACAAGAAAATTTGGTGCAGCCACATCCCCTCAAGAATTTGCTTCTTTGTTTGGGAGGCCTGTCTCCAAAAAGTTAATACTTGTGATCTCCTTCAGAAAAAGCTTTTGGGAAGATGCTCCATTTCTCCTCATGTTTGTATTTTATGTCTTAGCGAGGGTGAATCTACAGATCACATCCTTCTTCATTGCAGCTTCACTCAAAGGATATGGTCCCATTTCTTGAATATGGCAGGGTACAGTTGGGCTTTTCCAAAACACATTATGGACAACTTGAATCAATGGCAAGGAATAGGGCTTAGCAAAAGGGGTAAAGTCTTTTGG